CCGCCTCCCTCTGCAGGGGCGCCCCGGGCTCCCGGCTGCCCGCCGACGGCAGCAGCTGCGAGGACAACGACGACTGCGCCGTCTTGCCGAAGCTGTGCGAACAGGTCTGCGTCAACACCGAGGGCGGCTTCGAGTGCCACTGCCACCGCGGCTACAAGATGGTGGAGGGCCACTGCCGGCCCGTCTCCCGCTGCTACGAGGCGCCCTGCGAGCAGCAATGCGAGGACGTGCCCGGCGGCTACCGCTGCAGCTGCTACCCCGGCTACGCCGTCGACCCGCAGGAGCCCACCCGCTGCCTGCTGCACTGCAACCACAGCCAGTGCCCGGCCAAGTGCGACCCGTACCACCACTCCTGCGAGTGCCCCGAGGGCTTCTTGCTGGACGACGATGCCGCCAGCGGGCAGGTCTGCATGGACATCGACGAGTGCGACATGAACTTCTGCCCACACAACTGCACCAACCGCCCCGGCGGCTACGAGTGCCACTGCCGCGCCGGCTACCGCCTCCACGACCAGAACAAGTGCATTGAAATCACGGAGGAGGACTGGGAGGGAGCATACTCGGGGGATTTCGGGCCCGGATCCCAGACGCCCGTCCCCAGCCGGACCCCACCGAAGGCGGAGCACCTCCACCCCGGCACGCTGGTGGGCATCGCCGTGGGCGTCCTCTCTGTGGCCCTGGCCCTGCTGGCCCTGAGCTACCACCTGGCGAAGAAGCACTGCAGGCCCCCCGCCACCATGGATTACAAGTGCAGCGGCCCCCACGAAAAGGAGATGGGACTTCAGCCGGTCGCCTCGGGCTGTGCCGCCTCCGGCCAGAAACTGTAGGGAGACCGGGCAGGACGGAGAGAGGGAGGTGGACGGAACTGGGTAACATTTACTCCCCCCCCGCCCCGCCCCGCGCAATTTTTTAATGATAAAGAAAATTTGGGAAAAGCTGTGATCACCCCTGCTTCCAAAAATGCCCACCGCTTTCCAGCCGGCTCTTGCAGTACTTGTGCCCGAGAGCGGGGAAGGTGGAAGGCACGGAGCGCTGCTCCGGTTCTGCTCCCCTCGCAGGCAGCGGCGGGCGTTCGGCTTTCCTTTGCCCAAGCCAGCAGCTGGGGGGGCTTCAAGGAAAACCCGCGCACGTGTTACAGGCGGGATGTCTCCGTCTGGATCTAACTTTAAATCCGCATCATTGTGGGGCGGGAACACGTGTGCCGTGGCCGGCTGAGTTGTTGCGGACCGTGGAAGGTCGCCTGGCCCCCAATTCCCGCTCCCCTTGGCCGGGAAGCGTGCCACTGGGCTGCAGATGATGGCTTTCCCAGGGTGGCGAGGAGCTGGGGCGCTCCTGCCCTTGTTTGGGTTCGGTTTCACCTTTTTTAAACCGATGGGTGACGGAAGAAGGAGCGAAGATCTTGCGGTCAGCGCTTTGCCTCGCTCCTCTGCCCTCCTCTGCCTCATCAGCAGAAATCTCAGTTTTTGTCACCCCCTGCCCCGTCTTTTGCCTCTCACCTCTGGCAGCTGAGCACTTTCCACCTTAAATTGCTAGCGACAGCAGGGACCCTGCTGAGCATCACCGTGTGAGGGCTAAAATGCTTGATTTCTGTTCCCTCTTACTGTTTCGGGGCTTTTTTTCAGGAGCGCAGAGGTTAAATGGGGACACCGAGACTGCCAGGGTAATTTTTTCTGTGGTAAGAAAGGTCATTTGCAGCGCTGGGGAGCCTCGTGTTCCCCACGCGATTTCTTCCCTAATTTTCTGCTGTTGTTGGGTTAAACTGTTCAGTTGGTGTTTTTTTGGTTTGTTTTTTTTTTTTTACAAACCCGCTTAACCAAACCCTCCTGTCCACAGGGTTTTTTTTCTGGTTTTTCCTTTAGTCTTGTTCAGATCACGGCCGAGGGCTGTGTCTAATCCACATCGAAGCTCACGACAAAACTTTCCTGGGGGGCAGGATCCGGCCCGCTGCTTGCTTCCCAGCCACGGACCGGGGGAAATCTGGGAAGCTATTTTATGCGGTTTTCCAGCTCCATCGTTCGGCGGGGAGACAAGGGGCAGCTCTGCAAAGCCAGCGCGCTGCCGGCCGGGGCTGGGGGGCGGCAGCCGTGGGGCGGCGGGTGAGCGGCGAAGCGGGCGCTGACAGCTTTATACCCGTGAAAAATCAGCCTGCAGCAGCGCTTGGCTTTCCCGCAGGAAGTTTTGCAAGCCCGGGGGCAGAGCTGGGGGCCGCAGAGGGGCTGCGGGGCCCCGGGGGGCTGCGTCCCCCCTTCCGTGCTAAGCCAGCTTGCTATCACGCCGCGTTTCCCCCTCCCGATAGGGCAGAGCTACGTTGCAGCCTCCAAGGAAAATAAAAAAAGATATGCCTTGTATGAACCGTAGCTTTCCTCATGTAAATGGTTCAACCCACTGTTTTATACACCTGGCACATTTGTAAATACTTATTTATTTATTGGAAATATACCCTACGCAATGCACAATCACATGGTGATTTTGTGTGTAGACCAATAAAGCTTTTACAGTCTGGTTTATAGACAGCTGCTAATGAAATATTCTTTCTCCCCTTCCCTAAAACGAGTGGTTTTCCTCACCGCGCACTGGCCGGTCTCGCAGCCAGAGCTCCAGAAGTCACAAACCCCGCTGGAGCCAAAAAAAAAAAGAAGGAGCTGCGGGCTCTTAGCGGAGCGTCAGGCTGGAAACATTGCCCTGCTGGTTATTTCACCAGTCCGATTAAAATAGGAATGAGCCATAAATAATGGAGAGCAAGAATAACGTTAAAAGGACGAAGTTAAAATCAAATAAGCTGGAAATGGCTAATTTAACGCTACCCCCGTGCAGCCGAGCCGGTTTAGCCCCAGTGCTGTTCTTCAGCTCAAGTTTCTATGGGTATGTGTTTCAAGTGCCGCTAGAGGTGATGTTTACCTGCGGCAAAGGGAGCGGGATTCGGTTCTCCTGGCTTTTCTTGTGGAAAATACAGTTTTGGTTCTGTGCGCGCTGAAATCCCTTTGCCTGGGGATCTGGGGGGGCGCGGGGGAGGTTGGTTGGTGGGACCTGAGTTTTCTCCTTTCCCCCTTAGCTGAAGGGAGGTTTGGGACTCCCGGGCACCTGCCGAGGCTCAGTTTGCCTAGTCTCAAGCTCTGATCTCAGTCGTTGAGAAACTCCCTATTTTTGTACAGAAGAGGAGCCCAGAGGGGTCGCGCGGATCCCATGCTCTCGCTGCCCCGCAGAGCTGGTGCCGAAGTCCAGTCCGGTCCTGCCCCCTCGCCCTGCGACAGACGTGGCGGCTGATGGGCTTCGGGGCTTTTCTCCGTCTGTCAGAGCGTGTTTTGAGAAGGAATGGGAAGTTTGTGGTTTATTATTCTGGAGGGGCACCCGCCCTGAGGCTGCAGTCACTGTTCGCTAATGCTTTTTGAAACCCTCATCATCGCTGATCCCAGCGGAGGCTCCTCGGTGCCGAAGGTAACGGCAATAATTACTCAGCCGACGTAATTAACCGTATCACGGGCCAGTCTTATGGCTTTTTATTTTGTTCAACTGCACAGAGCACAAGCGAGGACCGGCAGCGGCGGCGCAGGGCCCAGCAGTGTGTCCCCCCTCCGGCCGGGGTCCCCTTTGCCCGTGCCTGGTGGAGACGCCCGTCCGGGGGCCGGCGAGGCCGGGGGGCACCCTAGAAGGCGGTGGTCTTTGCGAGGAGGGGTCCGGGCTTGCAGCAGGGCTCGGGGTGCAGGGGCTGCTGCTGGCAGGGCAGGGGCGGGCACATGCAGCCCTTGCCCTTGTCGTCCCCCCGGGGAGCGGCGCAGTAGTCGAGGGGCTCTTCCTCCTCCTCCTCCTCCTCGGCGGCCCCCTCCCTGGCGTGGCAGCAGCAGAGGCTGGCGTCGAGGCAGCGGCGCAGCACGCCGTGGAAGGAGTGCCGGAAATTTTCGGAGAGGAAGCCGTAGAGGATGGGGTTGGCGCAGCTGTTGGAGTAGCTGAGGATGAGGGAGGCGTTGTTGACGGTGGCATCCAGGCGGCCGGGCAGCAGGAGGTTGACCAGCTGCACCACGTAGAAGGGCATCCAGCAGACCACGAACATGGCCACCACCATCAGCACCAGGCGCGTCAGCTTGCCCTCGGAGCGCCGGCGCTGCTGCCAGCCCACCCGCTGCGCCACCGCCCGCATCTTGCCCACGATCAGCAGGTAGCACAGCCCCATGGCCAGCACCGGCAGCAGGAAGCCCAACAAGGTGGTATAGACCACGAAAGCGGCCGACCAGGCCGGGCTCGGCCACAGGAGATTGCAGGCCACCGCTTGGCCATCGCGGGTGGTTGCCGTACCGGCGAAGATGGGGATGGGTGAGGCCACCAGCAAGGAGAGGAGCCACACGCCCCCGTTGACCATCTTGGCCACCCGAGGACGGCGGTAGGTGGCTGCCCGCAGCGGGTGCACCACCGCGATGTAGCGGTCCAGGCTGAGGACGGTCAAGCAGAAGACGCTGGTGAACATGTTGAGCCCGTCGACGCCCAGCACGGTGCGGCACAGGGCCCGGCCAAAGGGCCAGTGGTGCAGAGCGGCCGATGTGGCCACGAAGGGGATGCTGAGCATGAAGAGTTCATCGGCGATGGCCAGGTTGAGCAGGTAGATGTTGGTGGCCGTCTTCATCTTGGCATAGCGCAGGATGACGAAGATAACCAGGGAGTTGCCCAGCAGCCCCAGCAGGCACACCAGGGCGTAGATGCACTGGATCACCACCATGCCCGCGATCTCGCCCGCCCTGCCGCCCCCCTCCGCCTGCCCCTGCTGCCGGCCGGCCTCCCCCGCGGCCGCGCTGGTGTTGGGGGGCACCTCGGAGGCGGCCCAGCTGGATACAGTCCAGAGGGGCACACCGGCCGCCTGGGCCCCCGCCGGGAGCTGCTCGGCATCGGCGCTCATGCTGGGAGGTGGTGGTCCATGGGCGGGACACCGCTGGGGATGGGTGCCAGCCTGCAGGCAGGGCACAGGCAGAGAGAGAAGGGGATGAGAGCTGCGGCGGGCGGCAGACGTAAAGCACGCTCCCCTGCCTTCCCCCTCAGGCCACGGCCATGCGCTTTGGGCAGCTCCGGCCGTGGCCCCCCCTGCTCCCTCCATCCACCCCCCCTCCCTGCCCGGGCACCTTCACGTCACTCCTCAGGGCAGCAGCATCCCTCTCCAGGTGGGAGCATCCCGTTTGGGGGCTGCGGGCGTGGGGTGTGCGTTAACCAGGCGTGGGGACACCTCGGCTACCGGTGGCATGATCTGGGAATCAATGCCCCGCCGCCATCCGCCTTAACGAACCTCTGCAAATCTCAGTGGTTTCATTAACCCCTGTGGGGAGAGCAAACAGAAGGAGAAACCGAGCTGGGGGTATTTTACCTCTCAATCCTCCAGGGATTGAAAGAGCCGCCTGCCTCCCTCCGGGGGGGCAGCAGCAGGCGCTGGGAGCTGCTCCGCTGGGATCCGCGGGCTGTGGGCAAGGCAAAGTCCTGCTTGACCTGAATCAGATGACCAGAAGGATCCGGACCTTTTAAAGTGAAAGACAGACCACGCTTGCCGGATGGGAATACGGGCTATTCTAGCTCACCCCCATCAGCTATGCCACGAAAATCAGCTTTCCTATTCAAAACAGATAAATAAATCAACAATAATCCAAGTTCCTGATTTACACTCTCCGCTTTCCGACTGAAAATAAAGCCGCAGACGTACCCTTCGCCCGTCTCGCTCAGGTGTGGGGTATCCTGCTGGCTGTGGCCCCGGCGAGGGGACGCGGCGTCCTGCGGGGCCCCGGCGCTGCGGGCACTGCGGCGGGCGGGATGCTGCAGC